CATTTTGATATATAGGGCTTTAGACTATTTCTATGGTTGTTGTGTTAAAGTACATATACATATGCATATATATGTATTGATATATATATTATATATTAAAGTTTATATATAATGTATAGATCTATATATAATGTATGCATATAATATATAATATAATATATGCACATGTGTATGTATTTATATATATATATATATATAATTATATATGTTATTATTAGTAAGATAGTATTACTCCACAAATACTCGGGATTCAGGATTCAGTCTGGTTGTATAAGGTTTCCATATGATGGAGACTAAAGTAATAATATTCTTTCTTTAACATAAAATGTATTTATAATATAAAACATTTCAACGATATACAAGTTAAATACCTTTAAAACACTTGATAACATCTTTAAAGACAGAGAATATATATTATATTAGAGCAAAATTCTTCTGTTGGAGGTTGACAAAATTTTTGACAAAATTTTTCTGTTGGAGCCAGGTAACAAATATTGTAGCATTTCAGGACTGTGCCGTCTGTGGCAACTAACTGCCATTAGGGTGTGAAAGTGGCCACAGACAATATGTACATATATAAGCATGGCTATTTCACTTATGCACATTTTAATATGAATTCCATATATCTTCATCAATCAAAAATATTATTCTCCTTTTGATATTTTTCAACAATTTAAAATATAAAAAAACATCCTTGCCTCACAGGCTGATACAAAAACTGGTGAGGGCTGGATTTGGCCTATATGCCAATTTCTAACTCCTGTCATAGAGCATATATAAGAAGTACATGACATAGCTCTCAGATAAAGAATGAAATAGACCTAAACTCATTCTTCTTTGTGACGTTAGAGAAGTGATTTCATCCTATCTCACTTTCTATTGTTAATGAAGAAGAGATAACTTTGTAAAAATATTTTAATAAATTTTTAGTGGTTTACTGCAGCCGCATGCACTGCCTCAGGAGAACCAACTGTGCAGACCTGCCCAACTGCATGTGCCGTGACAGCATATTGCTAGCTTGAAATTGACCATGGTGGAAATATTTATACTACAAGAACTAGTAAATTCTATAAATCAGGTGTTTTTCTCCCCTAAAGAGCTTGTTGTTAAGCCTTTACCAACAGACCTTTAGATGTAATATTTCTATGGACCCTTGGCTGCTCTGTGAATAAGACATGACAGCACAAAACAGTTTAGTTGAGGCACTTTATAGGAACACTACCTAATTACTTCTCAATAATTGTTACAAATATTTTTCTCTAATGAAATGAATATGTCATTTTTACTTATCTCAAAAATTTTAGAATAGCAACAAAAGTTGACTACCTCAAAGAAACAAGATTATCACAGGCTTTGGAATTTACTTCGGTAAGAAAAAGGATTTTGATGTCATGTGAATTCATGAGAGGGATAGTGGTAGCAGTGCAGACTTGCTATTTGGATAGAGGGTCACACACTTTACCAGAAAGAAAGAATTACACCGTACATTATAAAGAAAAACTTCAACTGACCCGCATTATACAGGAAGTGTTAAGAAACAATGTTAATGGAGGCGTACTTTGCAGGTTTCATTTTAGTTTGTTTTTGTTTATTTTTCCAGATTTTAAAATATCAGATATTGAAAACCAGTTCTTAGGGTTAGATGAATTCAAGAGAATAGCTGAAAAAATTCAATAAAGACAGGGTAAAAGACCAGAATTTCTGCTAGAAGTGAGTCACTGATATTGCTTATCCACTTTCTCTTTCAAAAATTTCTGAAAACACACCCTACAATTTTCCAGCCTCTTTTCCACTGTATTCTACTAACAAACTCTAGTACATATTTTTTTGTTGTCCTAATTTAATTTTATATTATTCTATTAAAATGGGAAAAATAAAAAGCAAAACAGAAACAAAAATCTCACATTCCTGTAAAAGTGCTGGGGGAAAAAAAAATCCAAATTCAATAAAAATCTTTCATCTAGCAAGAAGTCTGTATTTTTTTTTACTGTGTGTGATGAGTAATAGCCAACATAGGAATTAAGCTAAATTGAAAAAAGAAAGTCAAGAAAAGCCTTTGGCGATCTTTGATTTATTTAGTTCAGAAGTTTTGGAAAACAAATATTTATTTCTCTCATTTACTGAATTTTGTTACAAATAATGCATCTTTATTTTTTGCTGCCTATTTATTTATTCTGTAATATCCAACTTGAATTATTTCATATTTTTCTTAAAAATCTTGTACTCTAATGACATATTTGAATATTTAATTTTTATTTTAATAGAAATTAATGTCTCTTTTGATCTATTTTACCCCACTATTTGTTTCATTTTCAGTTTCCATTTCTCCACTCATTCCTTAAACATATCCTCAGATTCTGTCTATATATTTCCCATGGTATTACATTCAGATCTTATGGTTTCACGTGCACTGATGTTTGCCATTTTACTCTCTCAAATCTCCCCTGAGCTTCAGACATACATATCCAGCTCCAGTTGAATGTGATTGAAAGAACACTTAAAGTCAACAAGTTTATAAGCAAACTCATCCATTTGCTTCCATACCATTCTATTGTATTTCCTATTATGTTTGAGGGTAGAACCATCTATTTCAGTGGTTTACAAACTCTATTTAACCCACACAGAGCATACAGTAACAGTGTCTTTCTCCAGCAATAATTCTCTGTTAAGGAATATTTCCTTGAAGTATGCAGGCAAATATATAAAAAACATCCTATGCATGGAAGGAATAAGAAAACTTACAGGATGCATAAAATAACAAATCTTAATACCAGTGCTTGGAGAGAAATTTATAGCAGTGAAAGCCTATATTAAAAAAAGATGAAAGCTCTCAAGTTCATAACCCACCTTTTCTCTCTATGAAACTAGAAAAAGAAAATTACAGTACACACAAAGCAAATAGAAGAAAAGAAATAATAATAATCACAGTGGAAAAATCAAATAAAAAAGAAAAATAATAGAGAATATAAAGAAAGCTAAAAGTTAATGTTTTGAAAAGAAACAAAATTGACAAACTTTTGGGCTAGACTGACCAGACAGACAGACAGGTGGGGAGAAGAGATGGATAAGAAAGTGAAAAGACTGGAAGGAGATATTTATATATCATACTACTGATAAGGGACTGGCATCGAAATACATAACTTACTCTTACAACTTAATAATGCAAATAAAAAACAAACAAAAAATGAGTGAAGAAAATTCAAATAGATATCTCTCCAAAGAATATACACAATGGGCAATAAACACATGAAAAGATGTTTAACATCTTTAGTCGCTGGAGAGATATAAATTAAAATCACAGGAAGATGCCACTTCACATCCACTTAGATGACTATAATCAAAAGGTCAGATAATAAAAACTGTTGGTGGGCTTCCCTGGTGGCACAGTGGTTGAGAGTCCACCTGCCGATGCAGGGGACACGGGTTCATGCCCCGGTCCGGGAACATCCCGCATGCCGCGCAGCGGCTGGGCCCGTGAGCCATGGCCACTGAGCCTGCGTGTCCGGAGCCTGTGCTCCGCAACAGGAGAGGCCACAGCAGTGAGAGGCCTGCGTACCGCAAAAAAAAAAAAAAAAAAAGTGTTGGTGAGAATATGGAGTCATGGGAGCTGTCACTCATGGGTGGTGGAAATATAAAATAGTACGGCCATTTTGGAAAACAGTTTGGCAGGTCCTCAAAATGTTAAATATAGGATTATCTTCTGAATAGTCAATTCTGCTCATAGATACATATCCAAGAAAATTGAAAACATATGTCCACATTTAAAAAAAAGCACATGAATGTTGACAGCAGCATTATTTATACTAGCCAAAAAGTGGAAACAACCCGTGCCCATCAAACGATTAACTGATAAGTAAAATGTGATATACACATACTACTGATACATGCTACAACATAGGTGAACCAGAAAGCACTATGCTAAGTGAAAGAAGCCAGTAACAAAAGACCACATATTGTATGAAATGTCCAAAATAGGCAAATCTATGAGGACAGTTAGATTAGACAAATCTATAGAGACAAATAGCAGGGATGGGTGTGGAGTATGGGGACAGACTGAGGTTTTTGGGGGACAGTGACAATGTTCTCAGCTTAGATTGTGGTGATGGTTGCATAAATTTGAATATGCTAAAATCCAATGACTTGTAAAAAATTCCAATAATTTATTTTGAAATCGAATTTTAAAAATGTGTAGACTCAGTTGTTTGTTTGTTTGTTTTTTTTGTGAAAGAAATCTGTAATTACAGATTTCTTAATGATTTAAGCATCAGGTCAAACTCCAAGTATTTTATAATAGAGATACTGGTACAAATGCACACTTTCTTATGATTTTATCCTAAATTTTTCCTTAGCTTTTCATTTTATGTATTTTCAACCTTACTTCTACTAAATACATGCAAATTTTTATTGCACTGACTGGTCAACACATCTTAAACTAGCAAATCTAAAACTCGTGCTCCCCAGATCAGTTCAGGCACAAATATTTTAATAGTCTGTCAACATTCATATAAATTGTTTGAAACTTTCCCAGCAATTTTCATAGATTCATGTAGAATGAGTTTTATGGTTTTCTGAACACAGGTCAAAGAAAAAATTAAAATTCTTTTAAAGAACTTAAAAATTTAAATTCTTTTATTTGAAAATCTTAAATTTCACTTTTTATTCCTGCTTACTTCCTAGGCTTACAATGTAACTGTAAGTCTTTGTGTTTTTACGTTCACTGTGATACAATTATCAGTTGACTACCATGCCCAACAAGTTAGAGAAATTTATTGATTCTGATAGTAAAAGAAAAGTTAAAAAAAAGAAAATAGTGTATGTGCTCTCATTGTACTATTACTTTGGAAAATAACTACAATTAATTATTATGAGACTTAAGACTACATGTTGTTTTCTGATTATCTTTAATAATATAAATAACATTGCATTATATATATTATTACATCTACATTCAGAAAATCAATAGAGCTGTCCTCAGTTGTCTACACTGCTACATGTCTTACCTTTGTCTTGGCAAGCTGATGAGGGGTTGTTTATGACATCTCTTGCTAAGGCTAAAGAGCTTGTGTACAATTTTCTGTGCCTTTAGGAAAAGTTGCTTCATGCTGTTCTCCAGTTGTTCATAGCGGCGCTGAAAATTAGAGTCCATTGTCCACAAATGCATTATGGTAGACGTGTTGAGGAAATAATTCATGGGTAGCCTTTTCATAAAGAACTTGAATTCATCTGAAAAAATGTCAAAATTCAACACTTTAATAATAAAATAATTATTTTCCCTTTTCCCCAAAACACATTTAGTATGTTAATGTTTAAAAAGAATACAATCTATTATTTTCTGTGTAGCAAATTAATGGCAAGAAGGAAATTTTTTTATGCTTTAGGATTTTCGTTTTTTGTTCCCCTCAAGAAAGAACATTCACAGTAAAAGATAATTAAAATAATCATGCTACAGCAAATAATGGGGGCAGAAAGTTTAAGGTGAACTTAATTTTTCCACATTCTCCTTTCGATGGTATTTGAATTTGATGATAATGAAGTTCTTCCCATAGGTAGTGGTCATTAATCTAGCTTTCATTTTTGGCAACAGTATTAATAATTTGTTCCAAGTATTGTTCATTAAATAAATATTCTCAGAAAATTTCATTAAATCAGTATATATATATATTATCATTACTAAATTATTATATTGTTTAAGGAAAAAGAGGAAACTTTTATAGTGTAAAATATAATATTCAACTATGTACTCTGGTTGTTCCCTTAGTAACTGACCACATTTCAATTTGTTTAAACAACAGTTTAAGACCTAACTGTATACTTAAGAGAAAAAAATAAAAAAGAATTTAAAGCTCCAGTATTGGCTTTTTGTGTGTGTCAATAATTATTATGTCTAAATTATTTTCTTTTCAAATGTCTAAGTAACTAACAGTAGGAACAAAAGTTGACACTACAATAAAATAATCATGTAAAAGGTCTATTAATTATCTCAACACAGAAGAGCCAAAAGATAGAAACAACCCAACTATTCATCAATAGATGAATGGCTCTACCAAGTGTGGTATATACATAAAATAGAATATTACTGAGCCATAAAAATGAATGAAGTTCTGATGCATGCTACAACATGGATGAACCTTCAAAATATCATGCTAAAAGTGAAATAAGCCTGAGAACAAAGGACAAGTATTGTATGATTCCACTTATATAAAATATTTAGAATGTTCAAGTTCATTGAGACAGAATATAGATTAGAATTTACCAGGGGATGGGGGAAGAGCAGATGGGAAGTTTTTGCATAATAGCTATAGAATTTCTGTTTGGGGTGATAAGAACTTTTTGGAAAAAAGATAGTGGTGATGGTTGCACAGCATTGTGAGTGTAATTAATGTCACTAAATTGTACGTTTAAAATGGCAAATTTTATGCTATATACATCTTACCACAAAAATATTTAAAAAAACAGAAACAAAGAGAGGAGAGCCTTCTCCCCATCTCTCCTTTTCTTCTTAAATATTATGATCAAGGACTCAAAACATAAACTTTTAATTTATTTTAGTATTTCTTTAAAGGATTTATTGTGTTTAGCATACCACATTGCCCCCAGTTCCATGTTGGAGTGGCTGGGTTTCCTCAGCATATATACTCCAGCACAGGACAAGATCTGGAAAATGTTTTCAGTGGCTGAAGATGTTTTATTTAGTAAGTGATACAAAACCACATTTTAGTTACTATTCTACCCATAAAAGTGTTATATTGCATGCATTAAACCTCAGTCTTTCTGTGTCTTAATTTCCTCCTTTGTAAATGAGATAGAAAGTTTTGGATAATAATAATCTCATTTTATTTTAAAATTCTATGATGTTACAGTTGTTTTAAATGACTGTCAGTTTTAAATATCCAATTCAAAAACAGTTGTTTTCAAATAGCCAGTTATAGGCGTTAGTGTTTAACTGAACTTGGACAAGGTAATCTCATTTTATTTTAAAATTCTATGATGTTACAGTTGTTTTAAATGACTGTTAGTTTTAAATATCCAATTCAAAAACAGTTGTTTTCAAATAGCCAGTTACAGGCATTAGTGTTTAACTGAACTTGGACAAGGTAAGTTAATACCGATTCCTTATTAGTAGAGAATGGCTCAATTGCAGTGTTTCAAAACCTCCAAATTATCATCCACATTTAAAAAAATATGCCATTTACATGGGAAAAGATAAACTACACTGATACATATACATATTTAAAGCAACTAATTTATAGTTTTATAAATCAGGACTATTTCAATAATCAAATCCAAACTATTTCATCAGTGATGGAAAATGCAACATTTAAACAATTAACAGAAAATTATATTCATGAATTTTGGGGTTGATATTTTTTCTAGAGGAAATAAATACAAAGTTCTGGGATCTTTTGGACATTAAAGGTATAGACTTTACCAGAAGAACAAGGAAAAATAAAACAAAAGGAAAAAATAGGACATTTTATTGCAGAATCTATGGGGAAAGATTTTTGAGGATATATCCATTTGATGTGCTTCAAATAATTTTTTTAAGTAAGCAGGGTATAAATAAGAGATACATTTTAAAATTCCAATTTCACAGTACCCTACATTTTGTTTGGTCCCATATGTCTCTTTTGAGAAACTCTCTCCTTTGAATAAAGGAGTTCGTGCATGGAAACTGGAAAGCATTCCTTGGATTATTCACAGAGCAGATGCCACTACTGTGAAAACTAATCATTCATTTCATTGTCATCTTTTACTTGAACACTTTTGATAAGCCTTTATTGTTTCATGGGTATGCATATTTTAGTTATTTTCATTGTTTGTTATAGTAGTATTATGAAAGTTTCTAAATCAGTAAATTTCATTCACGTTAAAGAATATGTTAATTTATTTAATTTTACCAAAGTGTATGTAATAGTGTATGTCCGCTGAAAACTGGCACTATGTAATTTCTAAGAAACAGTTTTAACATGACATTTGAATAATTACTTCATTATGAAGTCATTAAGAGTCACCACTGACAGTCACCCAAAACATTTATTGGACACCTGTTGTGTACAAAACATACAGATGTTTCAGTCTATGAGTGAGAATATGAATAAACCTTTCATCTTATTTTTTAAATGACATTAATATTAAATATTTTTAAATGTTATAATAACATCTTATCTAAAATTCATTCTACTTAGAAGTCAATAGAATCTCCAGAAATATTCCTGTGGATATCTTTTATTTTTGGCAATTAGTAAAGTTCTTATTTATAGAATATGAAAATGAAATTTGAATGATACGTTAGAATTATTATATAAATCTAGAGATTTACATAACTACAAAGAGAAAAGATAATGATTAGGGGACACCAGATAACACTTTACCCTACAATAATTTCCAAACCCATGTAGGAGATAAAGTGCTGTTGCTTTTCAAATGGCAAGTAAACAATGACTAGTCATACTTTTTGGGGGGATAAATTTATAAAAGAAAACAAATTAATGTCATATAAAAATAGCCCAGGAGAAATACATTCAATATCTGAATTACTAGAGAGAGATTAATCTGGAAATCCCTGTTTGCTAAGTATGTATGAACTGAGTACTTTTGCTCAGCATAGCTTTGAGGACTATAGAGAAACAAAACAACAACAACAATAATACTAGTGGTAATAAACATCCTGTATGCTGGAAGGAATTTACAGTCAGTCAGTCGTCTTCGCAAAACTAATTCACGTGAAGCAAAAAATAATACGAAGGTAGTTGTATGATATTAATGAATTTTGTGGAGGTGAAGAGAATTAGGGTAGGTGACGTCTTTCCAATAAATTACAGAAGACTAGCCAGGCACCATGTTAATTCTCTAGATTACAACTATTCGTCCATTAAAAATGAGGTTTTTTCTAAAATAGCTGAGCAAGGTTTGTTGGTGTTTTTCCCCTCTCCTCTAATGCAAACTCTAGTTAACATCGGATATCTAATTAGCTAATTTTGAAACTAATTCGCTCTCTCTCTCTCTGTTAACACGAGTTCTTACTTTGGTAGGAACTCAATTTTAAGTGCTTTAAATATTAACTCAATCCCCCCAATAATCCTTCATGTAAATTTTACTGGAGCTGTTATGTATGTAGAATGCCAACGATTTTTAGTTTCATGACTTCAATGTCAGCAAAAATATTTTATTAATGCTACTGCATTTGTATATTGATCTTATGTATTTATATATTTATGCACTTTATTCTCATGCTTCACAGTTGAATTAAATAGGTAAGAGTGGAGAACAGAACATTTTCAGGGTGTAAAAGAACCAACCATAATACATAGAGGCTGATTTGTGTTTCTGCCTTTATTGATGAGCATGAAAATCATTGACAAATGTATTGATAATGCATTTTCACATATTCAGAACCTCTGATCAGAACTGCTTTGGAATATATTTTCAAAGGTGTTCTAAAGCATTCTAAATTTTCTAGAGCTTTGGGAGCACATAAATTACTTCCTCAAAAGTGTAGAAAAGTAATCAGATACTTTTGTATTATTTTGAGACAATTTCTTGAGTTATAAATCCACCAAAATATCCAAAACAGAAGCTGTTTCCATTAGAAAGTAGGACTATGGGTAGGGAGGACTCAGGGAGGAAACTTTTGCTTTTATGGTATTTATTATTTCATATGAATGTGTTATTTTACTAAAATTTAAATAAATACTGTGAATCAGTAAAAAACATAGCCAAAAAATACTATTAAATTGTCAGTACACTATGTTTATATCTTATGTTTCATACATTTACATAAAATGTTATTATTTAGTGACTTGCTAATTTAAAAGTAAAAGCATACTGGCTCACATTCCATGTTTTTTTCCTGTATCAATTAACATAGTGGTACACTCAAAGTATCTTTTCAGTAGAAATGACAACGCAATATGGATAATAATTTCAAGTATTATGAAAGCATAGCAATAGTCTTACTACAATAACAAAATATTGTACAGTATATAGCAAAGTATGTAAAGAACATGGACACAGAGCAATCTTTAAATGAAAGGATGTAATAGGCAAAAAAAAAAAATGTGTCAGATATATAAGAAGAATCCATGCAAACATTTGTTTTTAAGCAGGAAGGATAATCATTTCTCATTTTGTGATACTACTGGTCTAGTGTCTTCAAATTCCTCTCTCCTGCTTATGTTTGTAAACACAGGATTTTTTGAAATAATACATGTTAATAACATATT